CTTGTATCTTGTATTTTGCATAGTGATTACTTACATGGGCTCCTGAGTACCCCAGTCAAATGCATTTTAGCAAGTAAAGTTTTTTTCCTTTTACAGTATTTTGTGTTTCTGATGATCCTCACAACAGGGAAGAAGATCCACTGTGATGTCAAAAATTTTCAGAAAACTTAGAGCCTTTTTAAAGTGAGCATAACAGTCATTTCCATGTTAGATTGTGGAAAGGCACAATTTATAAGAATTTTTTAAAAGCTCTGTAATAGTAAAAATTACTGTATTTTAAGTGGCTGCATTACTCACAACGCAATTTTGTTTAACAGCAGGACTGCACATTGAAGTTAAAGTAAGTCTTGGCTATTTTTCCAGTTTGTACTGTATCATCTGACATCCCAAACAACTTTAACAATACTTGCTGGCAGTTTCCAACTGGGCTGAAGCGTTAATGAAGAGAGCCTTGATCCTTCAGAGATTTACTTACTTTGACTAGAGTCACTACATTCTGTGCTTAGACAGAGGCAGTTTTGTCTCCTCCCTGTGGAGGAGAGGCTTTAGTTTGTGTTCCCCTGAAAAAGTCACTTTTTCAGGACATGGAAAGGTCAGCACACAAAACATCTGTGACTTACCTACAGTTCCAGTGCTTTCAGGGCTGTTCAGAAAAATCTCTTGTTCTGTGGTGAGGCTTGCTGGACAGCACTTCTCAAGTCACAAAGTTTATGAAGACAAAACAATCAGCCTTGGGTTTCGACACAAGAAGCTTCATTAGGCAATTGGATTTTGCCTCCAAGATTTGAAGTAATACTAAACAACAATACCAGTAAACAGCTTCTGTTAATAACATGAGCTTGCATATAGGAAATTATTCTGGTACTTTATGATGTAGTAGCATGAGTCCAGCTTTTAGAAGCATAAAAAAGCAGCCTAAAAGCAAAGATACACTTTCTTGAGATGAAGTATTTTACCTCTAGAAAATACTTAACCAGGTTAAGTTAAATACTTAACCTTACCTTAACTAGATGGAGGATCTATCAAGTTCTCTAAACAAACCAGGTATTTTCTTGGAAGACAGACTATAAGGAAGATTTTAGGAATCTTGCATAGCTGTTCCTACAACAGGTTTCTCAGTTTGTTCTGTAGGAGATTAGATTGCATTGCATAATCATAACAGTAATTTCTCACCTAACAAAACCCAAAACAACCAAAGTAATTTAACAGAATGCTAATGTAGACACTTTTTGAAGCATTTTTTACTTAGGAAGAGGTGAAAGCCACTGTCCAAACAGAACTGTCAAGTGCAAAATTGTATTTTTTTTCTTTTCAATTTGAGCATGTTACCAGCAGCAGCCATTTGCCGAGTATTTCACAGATCAGCAGTTCTCCCTTTCAGACTCAGTGCTTCCAAAGGGTTGTTATGAAAACACCACCTAGGAAGTTAAAGATACACTTATTGTTATCTTTGTTTGACTGCTGCAGCTCCTTTGGCCACTGCAGAGCAGGTAACAGTGCATATGCTGTTGGTGATACCCAGCAGCCAGTTTGAGCAAGGTGAGGCGTGGGGATCCCCACAACTACCCTGGGGTTACCATGTGGACTCCAGTACTGCCAAGCACTTATTCCACAACGACTCTGCCTACCAGCTGGCAACAACAGAAGTGACCTGGAGGCAGAAATTAGGCGTCATTGCAAAGAGCAGCTGCAGAAAAGTAGGTGCTGGGAGAGGCAAGCAAGCACCTGGAAATGTTACAGTGTACTTGCTCCCTCCCCCAAAATACCAGTGTGCTTATTCAGAACTCAGCAGACTCGATTAGGGAACAACACATACATAAAGGATTCTGTGATTTTTTTCTTTCCTTAATAAGGATGATTTCAAAATGAAGTTAGGCTACGAACTGCTGCTGAAGCAGCACTGAGTGAGGCTGTCTCTGACACACGAAGGAACAAGTCACACTCCAAATGATGCTTGAGAAGTTCAAGCGAATACCTTCATAAGAGTTAAGAAAGATATTTAAGCTGCTGTTTTTATTAGTTTAGTGGGATGACTGTCAAATGAAATTGGGTGACTCATTTTTCTCATATGGTGCAAATGATCTGTAATGTAGTAACAGTGTTAGCTGCAGAAAATGGCTGACAGTTTGGATCTTGTATGACTGCAAGCGTTTATATGGACAGAGCACTGCCCCTCCATCAGGCCTGTAGCAGACACGTTCCTGTTCCAGTGAAACATCTGTCAGAGCATTAACCTTTCAAAAATATTTCCCCCCCCTCGCTTTCGTGTGAAAGCTGGATTTTGTGCTAGTAACAAAAGCACTGGTGAGAGTAATTTCTTATGCCAGCTCTGTCTAAACATGAACAATTCTGACCATTAACTAATTCTTTAAATGTGTTTTCTTACAGTTGTTCTGTCTCCACAGGGCTGACTTCCACGATGTTGAGAGGAGTTGCTCACGCTGCAAAAGACACATTCACTCTTCTGTCCACAAGATCTCAGCGCTGTAACCCAGGATTGGTATTTTCATCAGTACGGCCTGAAGCAGCAAGCAGAAGCTTCCTAATACATTCCAGTTACACAACTGATACAAAGTCAAGAGAGGAAAATAAAAAAATCATTGAGAGTCTCTACAGTTTGTCAGTTGACATTAAGAAGATACGGAGACTGAAGGAATGGGTCCTTCTCCAGGATGTGGCCTATGTTAAAGAAATTGCTGGGATCTTACAAGAAATGGGAGCAGATGAAACCGCTGTAGCCAACATTTTAGAACGCTGCCCAGAGGCAATTCTCCGCACCCCTGAAGAGATAAACTCTCAAAGAGCTCTGTGGCAATTAGTATGCCAGAATGAAAAACAGTTGATTAAATTAATAGAGCAATTTCCAGAGTCTTTTTTTACTACCAAATATCACCAGAACCAGAAGGCAAACATAACGTTTTTTCAAGAGCTAGGACTTAAGAATAATATAATCACCAGGTTCTTGACAAGCGCACCCAATATTTTTTATAATCCTGTTGAGAAAAACAAAAACGTGATAGAGACATTACAAAGGAATTATTTAAATTTAGGAGGTTCTGGAGCAAATATGAAGATCTGGATACTGAAACTATTGAGCCAAAATCCATTTATTTTATTAAATAACTCCACCACAATCCAGGAGAACTTGGAATTTCTCCAGAAGAATGACTTCACTGACCATGAAGTTCTACAGCTACTGTCTAAACTTAAAGGCTTCATTTTTCAACTTAATTCTACTACTATGCAGAAGAGTATGCTTTTCTCCAAAAGTGTCTTTAATTGCAGTGATCAAGAACTAAAAGAACTAGTGCTGAAATGCCCAGCCCTTCTCTACTATTCTGTTCCAGTTCTGGAAGAAAGACTTGAAGGACTACTGAAGGAAGGAATTTCTGTAGCACAGATTAGAGAGACACCAATGGTGCTGGAGTTGACAACACAAATTGTTCAGTACCGAATTAAAAAGCTCTCCGCACTAGGATATGATGTAAAGAGTGGAAATCTAGAAAGCTTGAATGGTACCAAGAAAGATTTTGAAGTCACTTATGGAAAGATACAATCAAAGAAGGAAAGACCAATTTTTAATCCCGTTGCCCCTATACACATAGAAGATTAACTTGAATGCTGTATGCAAAATAAAAGTTGGTTTTTTGAGATGAAACAAAAGTAATCTTAACCAGACCATAGTCTTATGCTGTACTTTGTCCTGGAGGGGGTTTCAGGCACAACTTTTGTTGTACACTTGTACCATTCCAATGCTTTCAAATACTGTCACAGAACCTCATTAAGATAAAGGTTGCCTTTTTCTAGAGAGTACCTCACATGTTACGTTTTCTTACCTGACAGGGCATTAACTGCTTTGGATTTTCAGCTCTGTCTCTGCACAGACCATCCTGTGGTAGTGATCAACACAATTTTTGTCTGAGAACAACAGAGGGTTATTTTTCCAACAGCGTTCAGCAACCCACTGGTTCACTGACTTCAGGAAATTCTCTTGGGGTTCCCTTCCTTATGGCTGCAGTAAGTAGCCCTAGCTCCTGGATCCTGACCTGCAACAAACTTGATTCTTTGGTTAGGAATGCCTAGCCAGAGTGCAGTTTGAGCACAGGGGCAGGACATAATTTTTTTAACTCAGTGACTGCTACAGCAAGACCCTAATATGTTTGGGTACAAACCATAATGCAACAAAAACCTGCAAGACAACCTCCTTTACATTTCTGAGAATTCAAAATTTATTTCTTTTGCAAAAAAACTGGGGCAGGAGGAAAAACATTTATTGCTAGTTCTTAATTTCTTCTTTTCTAGCAAGGTTTGGGGACAGGAAAGATTAGGGAGAGACTGAGGTTAGTCTCAAATGACGGCGGGAGAAAGGAAAAAGGCATGTTTTTATATTAGGTATAACAAAACTCTAGTCTGTAAATCACTGGTGATTAAAAATGACTACCAGATTTTCAAACAGCTGCCAGTTTCTAAATATATGGGTGGCACTGCTTCTCAGATAACACCAAATGGTAATTGTCGACAAGTGCTGGCTTTCAAAATAGTAACCATCAGATAGCATTTAAGTTCTCAGAGGATTTGATTTCTTTTCATTTATAGACTGTGAATGGTAACATAAAATAGCAGCATCACTGATGATCCTCCCAATAGAATTAGGATCATCAGTGATTTTATTTCTCAGAAAGACCTTCCTAAGCAACTGCTTCACACACATTCCCTCTTGACAGGAGGAGAAAAAACAGTTACACAGCCCCCTCACTCCAGGCCATTCTTCAAGGTCATTTTAAACACACATTTTGGCTGCAAGTCCAGGCCTCCTTTTCTTAGAATGAAGTTTTAAATTGCTGAAGAAAGCTGGTATTAAATTGCTGGTTTAGAGGGTGAGCTGCAAGATGATGATTTTATATAGTCTGCCACATTATCTGCTGTGAGCTTGGAAAGGGCTGGAAACACCTGGTGAGAGCAGTGCCAAGATCTCAACAGCTGAAGGTCTTAAACTCACCACTCTGCAGGCGAGAGTGCGGACGTGACAGCAGCTCGTGCGGGTAAATGCCGCTCCTGCAGGAGCGCGTGCAACAGTGGCGAGAATGTAAGAAGGGGCACGTATCCCCACCACAAAAAAAGTAAGGCTGTGTTACTAGGCTGTGTCTTTGCTGACTCTTTCAAAACAAATTATCAGTTTTTAAGAGGAAACCGGGAAGAGAGCCATACTACAAATTCACAGGAACTTGCCTTTGCCACTTTCTGTCATTCCGTGCTCAGCTATTAAGCAAACCGCAATATTATTTGGATTCAAAATCCTCCTTCCCCTCAGACACAAGGGGGCATTTCAGCTCTCTGAAGCTGTTCATAACACAATCTGTAACTGAGCCACAGTCCTAGTTGGTGATTTCAGGATGAAAAGGAAACCAAGACGTAGAACAGTGTTTTCCCTGAAAAGTTTCAGCATTTCTACACGTATCTGTTTTTAAAGTTCTTGAAACAGCTTATTCCCATTACTTACAATATCTTCAGTGTCAACAGAACAGGAAAAGGACACATTTCCCTAAGTGAGTCATGGCCCAAGTTATCACAAATTCGTTTTCTATTCTGAATGTTTCAATTTCTCCTCCCCTTTCAAAACAAAAGCAGGAGCAGAAATGCTCTTTTTTCTCTACCACCAGATGAAAATTCAGTCAGTTATTCATAACTCTATGCCTGGGATCTGTTTCTCTCTTCTTCGCAGGATTCATTTGTAATAAAGCCTCACGGAACCTCCCAATCACCAAAACGTTGTATTGCTGAAATCCACTTCCTCGTCTCTTGTTACTCACAGTGAACGTGAACCAGTTTGTACTGTTTTAGTCTGGCATATAAAGATGTGACCATAGATAAGCCTTTTGTTACAGAACGAGCAGTCAGGCATATAAGGTGCCTTCATAAAAATTTCCCCTTTCCAACTGGGGGCCGGGAAAAGGAGAGTAAAATAAAGCCACCACAAAAACAACTCCAAACAAACCCAAGAAAAACCCCGCTCACCCTGAAAATTTAAGTTCCATATTCCATTCAGCTCATTATGATCTTAAAAGTGGGTACTCCCAAGCCTCATTGAAAAGAAAATTAGTGCAAGGGATTTTGTGCTGGGTCTGTGAACAACTTACAGTGAAGTTATAGTTTTTGTTAAGAGCTGGTTGGCACTAAGTAGGTACAGATAAAAGACACTCTGGGGCTTGATGCTGTGGGAAGATTTATACCTAAGTACGCCCCTCTCCACAAAACTAAGGAAGCTTTCAAATGTCTGAAACAGCAACAATTTAATATTTCGCAGGTGCCAGGACAGAATTGGGCCAAGTTCTTAAGATCAAGCAAATTTCATAAGTGAATAGAAAATACACAGGATATAGGACAAAGCTCTTTGAAAAGTAAAACCATATGCCATGTAAAAGTGTTTCAGTTACAAGACTCAGAAGCAATAGCTACAGGATATGTTCTGAACAAAACATAATGAAGTGTTCGCAGCTCTTTAGAGATCTAACATTGTTTATCTCAGACCACATTTGTTTTGCTGCAAGTTTCACAGTTTAACAATTAAAGAATATAATTTCAAAAAATGGGTATGACTAGTTCAACATTCGTGTTTTCAGAAAACTATCAGGAAGGGGGTTTAGTTGGGTGTCACAAATACCACTGTGCTCCAAACAGTTTCTAAAGAGTTCAGTGGCAGCACTCTGGGGATATGGTTACATTGGAAACTGCAGAGGAGCAGACCATACTAAATTAAACACTGCAGCTAGACTGCCTCAGATACCCAGGCTAGCTCATTTCTAGAGCTAACTGGTACCCTTAAACCATACTATATTCTATGCAATTAGCTTTTGACTATAAAACCCAGTTAAAGTCTTCAGTTTGTTGCATAAACTTACCTTGTTACACCCTTGCAGGAGATTGGAACTAAGCAGCTGGTGCATCTAACAGAAAGGGCAGATGCTCCTCCCACCACCCCATGTTCCCATGCTTATGAGCATCATGCTTCCAACATACACAATTACTGATATAAAATAAAGTTGTTAGTTACAGAGTGCAATTGAAGTACCAATGGCTCAGAGAGATTGGGTGACTACTGTACTATAATTTAGACATAGTGTACATTCAACACCCATGAACAGAGGACTAAGTTTTAGACAAGTGATATGTTTGTTTGGTTTTTTTTTTTCATTTTTAAAAAGTCCCCCCATATATCCTTCTAGTACAACCACAGACACTGTAAAAGTAAGCTTACAAGTTCTCCATAGGAACACAAGTTTGTAGAAAATACTGCATGAACGACATGAACAGATGCCTTCTATGGGCTTCTAAAGAGGTTACTTATTTGCAAAGTCAGTACACAAATAAAAGATCATCAACAGCTTCTATTTTAAGGCGACCTCAAGCTGTGTCTTTACAAGTGCATTTTGCCTCACACATTACAGAAGACCTACAGATGTTCCCATTTGAGGTGCGTCAATATTTGGAATCTGTCAGTATACAAATTACTGGAATGACGTTTCTTTTTTTTTCCTTTAAGGCCTCATCTACCTTTTTTGGTTTGTTTTAAATAAAAGTATTACATTTCACTCAAAAATCAAAAGGTAAAGTATGAGAAAGAGATGTGGTGAAAAATTCCTTGCATTTGCTTGAACAGAACAAGAAGCCAACCTGGCACATCATGAAGTTGAGACAACAGCTTTGCTAGTTCTTCAGTGGTTTCCAACTACACAAAGGAATTTCTAGCAAGTAAGACAGTTGTGCTAGATAGCCGCAAACAATCAGCCCAGTTTCCACTAAGGCATCTTTTTTTCTAGCGTCTGTAAAAAATTTATTAGAAGCAAGTTTTCACCTGCAGGAGATAGATGCATATCATTAAGTACACCTGAGATGGAACAATGATATTTTCAGTAAAAACTGACAAAAAGTTTCAGATATCAGGATTTGTAAAGAGTCTAAAGCTAATTCTGGGAACTGCACTGAAATGACAGGACAGTTCTTTACACAGCTTCACCTAGTAAAAAGATATTTTTTCTAATAAGGCATTAAGTTAGTTTACTCTTTGTGATCCCTTCTACCATGTTGTCAATCTTTTTCACTTCTATCTCCCACTCATTTCCAATTTCTGCATATCTTCAGCTCTATTTGCTCCAGTCTGCACTGGCAGAATGCTGTCAGGGACAGTTTACAGGCTGCCTAAAAATACAGGTTCATAACCAAGACTGTTTGGGTACATCCAGCATTGATTTTACACAGCTGAAGGATCCTTAGCAGGAGCACGTGGAAACCACTGAGAACAGGAACTGGCATCTCATTGTATCAATGGTACAGCAGAGATGACCAAGTTTCTATGTTCACATTTTAGTCCAAAACTGCAGAAGACTTACAGTAAATGAATATTCAAATATGTATTATTCCTTCAGATACACTTACTTCTATAGTTATCAAGTGTAACATTTCACCAGATACAAAGCTTCAATCTAGGCTCTAATAAATCTTCTTACGCTGTGCTAACCAAGCTTCTTCTGTCCTTTTCAGATGAAATCGAGTTACTTGCACAACTCGTTGGAAGATAAAGTGTCTAAGACACATGGCTTCTCATGGTCCCAATCTTAGCAGATTTTAATGCCACTGATGTAATATTCTGGAGAACGGAGTATGTC